TAATAGATGTGAACTGTCAGACTCACCCCATCTGCACTGTTCAGGGAAGTGTCACCTGCTGCCACTAGACCCTTCACTCTCCAGTAACCACTTAAACTGTCCCCTCCTCAGATGCAAAGGGTGTGCACAAGCTGCTGTGACAACAAAGACTCAACTGACAGGGGACTGTGGGGAAGCTGTGTTTAACCATGTCTTCCCTAAAAGGACTTGGAGAAAAAAATTTCATTTTCTGAATAAACATGATCTTTTAACCACTTTCCTTATTATTATAGTTCTTAAAGCACAGTAATTTACTAAAAGATTTAAAGTCTATTATCTTTGGTACAACTGTTTTTAATGGCTTAATCACTGTGTCCTCTCTGGGGTTTTATCAAGAGTGTGAGGGCTAACAGTGAGACTCACCTCATCTGTAATTACCAACAAAAAAGGGTTGAGAGGTGCCCAAATCTATCTCAACAGACCTAAAGTGCCTGAGAACACACTCCTGCTATTCATGAATAAAATACAGACAGGAAGCCTGAGAAGTGCAATTTGAGTCTCACCTTAGCTGCACTATGTTTTCAAACTTAGCCTGATGTGGCAAAACTCACAAGGCACTCGGTTTTAAAAAGAAATCAGAGGTTCCTTTACTAGTCTTCTAGACCGAGGGAAAGGAAAATCTCATTTCGAATCCACCTTAAGGCCACTTTTCTACCACAGTTCCTGACAAACTACAACTTACCTGGTCGTGCTGGTGGGTCCTGTATCCCACCTCGGGCATCCCACCTGGGAGGGCAGATCTCTGAACCTCATGGATAACCCCCAGGTCTCCACCAAGTGCAGGCACTAGGTAGAGATCTCTGAACCTCATGGAAAACCCCCAGGTCCACCAAGTGCAGGCACTAGGTAGAGATCTCTGAACCTCATGGAAAACCCCCAGGTCCACCAAGTGCAAGCACTAGGTGGAGATCTCTGAACCTCATGGAAAAAGCCCCAGGTCTCCACCAAGTGCAGGCACTAAGACCATTAGGAAGAAAATGTTCTGATAAAGATTGCACAGCAAAGCTTAAAACCTGCAAGGGTAAGGTGACCAGACATCTCGCTTTTGACGGGACAGTCCCAATTTTTAACAATTTGTCCCGCATCCTGCGGCATTTAAAAAAAGTCCCGATTTTTGGAAAGAATGCATGACAAGCTAGGGAACGACAAGCTAGGGAACGTGGGAGAACAGGAAGGGAATATATGGTTTTTGGCTGCCATGTGGCTATTTCGCCAGGATATGAGTTTTATATTATTTTTCTTAATTTTATAATGTTAAACTTTAATAATAACAAATAATTGTTGAGAACTGATTATGGAGAACTGCTTATCAAAGTTTGCATTGTTGTCAGGCGCCCCCCAGCGCCCCCCACTTCGTCAATGGTGTCCCACTTTACCAATGTTAAAATCTGGTCACCTTATGCAAGGGGGAAAAGGTTCATTAGAAAAACACTTTGCTCACGGTTCAAAGTGCACCATATCCATCTTTTCTCAGAATAAGTATCTTTTTTCACATTCAATTTCTTAAGTTTGAGAGTAGGTAAACGTGAATTTTACTTTTGGTAAATTGTAACGCAACATGTACCCCAGCCTTCTGAAGAGCACAGGAAGGGAAGTCACAACTCCCAGCCACCCCCCTCCCAAATCCCGACTCCTGGGAACATATCTGTTGGCCTGACAATTGTGAGAGCCAAACTAGCTCCATTTTGTTGTTTACAGCACAAGCCCCATTCCCAGCTGTTTACAGCACAAGCCCCATTCCTGGCTGTTTACCGCATAGCCCTTCCGCCCCAACCTCTGCCAGTGAAACCTGCAGGGCCACTCCCTGCTGCCTTCCCCCACCCCAGGTTGCACAGCCACTGCACTGTAAACTGAGTCACCTTAGGCAAATAGCTGCTATAATAAACAGTAAGTTTCTATTACCTTGAAATACAGGTAATCAGGTTGCACCAACTCTAGCCCCCGGTTAAGGGACCCTCCACCCCTCACCTGTACCAATCCAAATTCACCTTTACTAGTGAAATCATCAGCTACCAATGCAAATCCTCCTTTACTTCCTCCTTTACTAATGAAATCACCAACCCCCAATGAAAAGTGTACTCGTACTGGACCCTACCCCTCTTGCTTTCTGTACCCATAAAAACTTCCTCCACCCCGGGTTCTGGTTCTCTGGGCCTCTGGGCCGTCCCAGCCTGCATGCTGGGAGGGTCCAGACCGGTCTGAAATAAATCTCACCTTATGCCCTTTACATCGGAGGTGTCTCAAGTTTGTCTGTTTGGGCTATTTGGGGAGGATTTCTCGGACCCAACACAATCTTCAGGGATAGTCCTTGCTGGAGCTGCTCACTGGGGAGCCTACTTGCCCCAGTAGAAAGCAAATGTTCTGATAAAGATAGTGCAGCAATGCCTAAACCCCCCAAATCAAAGGCAGGGTCACCTGGAAAGAGGCCAGAAGAGCAGAGCGGATGTGGGAGAAGCAGATTCCGGTCACAGCAGGACCAGTTTTGAGAGATCGGGTTTAGGTGGTGCTTGCCAGGACAAGCATTAATGCATTGCTCTTCTCCCACATAAATACACACACTCAATCCTTCATAACAAGATTTCAGGCTGATCCCAAGAACTCACAGCAGGAGGATTTTACTACATCAACAGCACCAGTTACAGGCAGGTTTGCAGGGTGGTAGCAGAAAGGGAGCCTCCAAGTCTGGGCTCTGGGGAAGCCCTTTGTTCAGGGAATCCCACCCCCGCAAGCAGAGCTTTAATTTTACTTAAAATCCCCAAATCAAATTTTAAGATTGCCCCTTAACCAGCTACAGAATAAGCAAACAGGTCCCGTGCTTTTCTTAGACTCTCTCAGTCCCCCAGAACAATATCAAACCACAGATCTTTCCCTCCGGATATGGCCCCTTTCTTCTTCTTTTTTCTTTTTTTTCAAAAGAGTATCCCACACACACTATTGTGTATCTACAAGTTCAAATACCTTGCAAATACATTCCGATTCTACATCTCTCCCAGTTACCAAAGAATCTGGGAGGAGCTAACAAATGCAATTTGAATAATAATGAAGCCAACGGGACAACTTAACCCCGGAAGGTAGCCCTTGAAGATGCCAGGAAAAGACCGAAAGCCTTTATCTACAAAATCGTGGGCCAGTGGTCAGCTGTGGGACCAATTACCAAGAGTGCAGAAGACAGAAGTACACAGGCACACATCACTTAACCAAATGCGGAATTAACACGAGTCCTCCAGGAGAGAAGACGCGAAGAAAAAGGGTGACCTGGAAAGCTGCTTTCATCTGCCAGGCACAAGGCATAGCTAACTTCATTCTCCTTCTGGTTCACTCAAGTATTGCCTGCCAAGATGTAAAATGCTGGCTCTGCGCCTATAGCTCAACCGGCCAAGGCGCCAGCCACGTACACCTAAGGTGGCGGGTTCGAATCCCCAGCCCGG